ACGTCTATATGAAAAAATACATCCATATCGAACATCTTTTATTATAAAATGTCAGTCACAAAAAATATTTATGATTATTATTATTAATTAGCAATATTCTATATATATATATATATATGGATGCAACGGCTTTACAATGAGCAACAATTGATCGAAAAATAAATTGAAAAGTGACGCTTGTAAAATTTTGAAAAAAATATTCCAGAAAGTAGTTGTATCGAATAAAGTGAATGTTGCAAAACTTTCATAAATAAATTATAATAAACAACAAAAATGATATTGAAGCGATGATAATGCAAGCTTGCACAAATACTTGTAGAAACTAGAGTCGGTACTTCATAATAATCGAATACTCCTACTATAAAGAGATCTTGTGCTGTGTCAAGTTTCACAGAAGATTATTGTGATATCGGCGCATGAGAACACATCGGTTTACTCGGCCTGATCGATCGGATGGTTGCATGCATTAGCTTAAACAAGAACGCGACAACTACGGAGTAACACGTCGCACAGGACTCGTGCATCCTGAATGCTTTAACAACTTGTTTTGCAAGTTACAAAGTCGAGAGCATAGTATATGATATATATATATATATATATCTTACTTTTTTTATTTAATTTATCAAGAAGAGCACATCCTCTCATTTTTCCTCTCTTTTTACAGAATTCTCTTAATCAGCAGTTCAATTCAGCGATTAAACATAAAAATACACACGCGTGCAGGCGCATATATCGTCTACAACGAAGAACAAACGTTTTAAAAGTGCTCGACTCATATTCAAATGAAAGCAAACTTTAATTTATAATATTTTACAAATATTACGTTTGAATCTTGTTATATTATTAAAAAATGATAAACGTATGAACAAACTAATAATCACTTTTATTATAATTTTTTAGAAATAGTCATTGCTTTTTTCAGCTGTTTTGATTATATCTTTATTGTTATTAGAATAAAAATATGCTAACTAAATTTATAATAAGCAGATTGATAGAAATTTGGAATTAATAATTCACTAGAAAAATAATATTAAAATTCTATTTTTATTGTTCAGCATAATTTTTGGTTTGACTTTTTACTATCGCAGTTAAAAATAATATCTAACATTAAGTGTATAAATGAAATTTTAGGTCGCTACGAGTATTTTAATTATGGAAGCTTACTACTTTCCTGTTTTATTTTGCACAATAATATATTATTATCATAATTACTTATGTTTAAACACTGACAATATTTTGAACCTGAATAATAAAAGTTTTCATATCAGCTGAAAAAAATTGTGATTAAACCAAATTTGGAAGATAATTTTATATTAATTACAATTTTTTTTTGTGCACATTTTGATATAATTCAATGTATAAAATTGTTAATACTAATCAGTTAAGTTTGATAAGATCTATAATAATTAATATAAAAATAGAAATTAGTTCTGAAACAAATGAAAATTTAATTAATATAAAAAATATTCATCTCAATAAATAGCATTGCACTTGTTTTTATTGAATGGATTCTTAGACAATATAGAATTATTTAAAAATATATTATAATTAATACTGGTTTAAAGTCTAATGAGTAAAAGGTCGTTAAAAAAGGTCTGTCTATGAATAAATAATTTATACCATTTTTACTCAAAAAATGTACCAGTGAAAGATTTTTAAGTATTTTCTTATTATACTAAATTATACTTAAATTTATTATTCAGCACCATTTTAGATATTATCTAGTATATTATAAATATCTATAAATTATTTTAAAATATATCTACAGATAAATTATTGATGAATATAGCATATATATAATAATAATTCATATAATCCATTAACAGTCTGTATTGGATTTACAAATATTCAATTTTAACTTGCATTATACGATACCGAATCGTTCTAGTTTTAACAATTATAATGGAAATAGACCGTAGTTATTCAGGTATGTGTCGGTAAAGTAATCTGGTGGAAATAGTAATCTCGATCTCGAGTTTCGATCGATTGTACATCAATTTAAGATCTATGCAGTCTATAGTAAGTTCTCTAAGCGCATCAACTCCGTATTTACATGTACGCATGAGATGTCATGCTTTCTTGTAATTGTGTAAGCATCTCCTAATATCGCCATTACCAGTCGCGCAATGATCAAAGAGCTCGTAATTATTGAATATTCGACGCTTGTTACATTATGTAAATACATATGTTCTCAATTTATTAGATACCGAATGAAAAAAAAAAATTTTAGAACATTTATTAAAAAAAGAACATGACAAAGAATTAAATTACACATAATAAGAGTAAGAAATAAACAACAGAGATGTAATAACTTTGTGTCATAATAAATATGAAAATTTTTAAAAATATTTTATAATAAATAACTTTGTGTATTACTTTCCCTAAATACTTTTTTTTTAAATCATATCTTTAGCGTGCCTGTCTTTAACAATATTTATTTTATCGTGTATGTTTCGAAAAATATTTTTTAAAAATTATAGATAAATAATATTGTTTCAAAGCTAGTTCAGTAAATTTTATTTATTATTAATAAATACATGGCGTCACAAAGCAATAAAGTTGATATATCAAGAAAAGATATTCAATAGTGTAGAAGATTTTAGGATTTCGAAAAGCTAAAAACAATATATCCATAAACTATAACCTTTGCCAAAATATGAAATCATATAATAGAATTTTATAGTGTTTTTTTTTTTTTTTTTTTTTTTTTTTTTTTTAATAAAACTGTTAGATTTTACTTATTTCACGATTTTCATAAATTTTAGTGACTATAACTTGTAAAGAAATATGTTTTAATATATTTTAATGTATTAGAAATGATAATATATTTTCGCTTAAAACATGTGAAAATTGACAATTTCGTCACACGAATTTATTGATTTATATATATATATATATTATTTACAAATATGGAAAATGTGCTTTTAAGAAAACTGCGTTGAAAAATATTCTAAACTGTAAATTCTAAACGGCAGATTATACTTTGTTTAGAAATCAACACTGATACGGAAAAACCTCTTAAATTTAAAAAGTAATATAAATATCGACTCTTTTATTAATTAAAAAAAATGTTTTAAAGTAAAGAGCCAATTAAGAAAATTTAACTATTAACTGTTATTTTCACTCCGTAAGTCCATCGGCCTCTAAATATTCTAAATACATAAATAGAAGGGCAATTACTAAGATATTAAGAGTTCAATAATGATTCTAACTTACTATCTTTTATTACTCAAGAAACGTTAAAAATGGCGCCTAATAATACGAATTGGAAACAATTAAAACACCGTATATATAATAAAGTTGTACAAGAATTTACGATATATTATATTTCAGCTGTAATAAGGTATTATAATTGTCTTGAAGAATGATAATCATAATATGGCTATAGTTTATCACTAAAGTTTGACCGATTAAAAATAACAGCATAACTATTATCTGCCCGTAAAAGATGATTCATTCTAGTTGTCAAAAGCTGAAGCGAAACGGAGCTTTTGCACTTTCGATAACGATGAACCATTTTTTAACGATCCTTAATTAATTCAAATAATTTATTAGAAATTAATGCTTTCTTTTTTCTTTGTTTTTCTTTTTCTTTTTTTTTTTATTAAAAAAGCTATTATACAGGAGAGATTTTAAACAATAATTAATATTTAAATTCGTTAAAATTGTACTCTTTTTAAACATTCATTCATAAGAACTGAATGAAAATAGCCATTGAATTTTTTGCTTGCATTTTTAGCATTTGTTTCTTCTTATTTTAAGTGTGAAAATATGACAATTTTCATTGGCTTCTAAATTGAGTGTCGAGATATTTGATATTTCACAAATTGTATTACACAAAGTATCAATGTCTCTGATCAAAACATATGAAGTGCAATAGGCAAGAATATAAATAAAGATAGAAGAAATGAGCCACGAGGATTTAATTAGAAATGAAGCAATGATAAATAATCGGACGGAAATAGATTTAATACTAACCGTTTTTACAAGTTTTTAATGACTATTAGTATTATAGCTTAAATGCTATCGAATGGATCAATCTGTTTGTTTATATATTAAATAATATATACATATATACCAATTTAATAATGACTACGTGCAGTTAAAAGTAAATCATAAAAATTGAACTTTTACATTTAAATATTTGAAATTTTTAGTATTTTTAATAATTTAAAATCCAAATACATATGCTCCGAAATTTCGTTTATATTTTTCGTTTCTATTATCTACAAAGTCGTAAGATAATAATTCTAATGATCTCTAGAGGAACTTTGTCTCTGATAATGTACAAATCGGTCTATTTAATAAATTATGTTTATTATAATAATAATAAATATTTAATAAGTTGTGAAAAAGATATGTTCATAAATTTTTATATTTTTAAATATATACACAAGAAGTTTCAACAATAATAGTTATTATTCACTTGTAAAAACGTACTTTATGTATAAGAGTACTTTATGCATTAGAATATATTCATAAGCAGTTTAGAAAATATATTGTGTGCTCTGCTTCAACCACATATATTCTTTATAACTTAGATATTTAAATCGAAGAAAATTTTTGTCTGTTCAATGTGCATAAAATGAACTTGAATAAAAAATGAAATATTTATTTTAATATTTTATCTGTTACAATTTACGTAATAAACTTTAAAAATAAAATAATAATGATAAATATTAATATCATAACTAATAATCAAATGTACAAACTTTATGCTTTCCGAATATTAAATAAATGTTTTTAAGAAAAAAGAACTGAATCAAAATTATTACGTATTCACTATTTTTTATATCTATATTTATCTTAACCTACATTTTACGTTCATTTATATTAATTATTATATTACCATATTATATTAATTATGTATTTTCTAACTGAATATAACTGAATGTAATCGATGTTATAAGAACATAATCCTATGAGAGGGTTTTTTAATTAGCTTAACGTCGGCTTAATTTGTGCCTACAACATGATAGACGAATCTTTTTCTCTTGCAGCGTGGATGCGCGTGAGCGAGACTTTTACTATGCCGAACGTTGGTCGGACGAGAAAGTCTTTTCCAACCGAGCCTATTTCATGCCGGAAAAGAAGCCTGCAGTCCTTGGGGTCGACCACATTCGCGAGGATGACGCCGGTATTTATAGGTGCCGTGTGGAGTTTCGCATCGGTCAAACTCGGAACTCTAAAGTCAACTTGACCGTTATAGGTAAACTTATCCATAAGACTTATTTGCTATTGTCCGTTATTTTAATTTTCTTAGTCTTTGAATTTAATTAATAAAATGATTTTGAATTCAAATTTATATTTTATCTTTATAACTGCGCTATCGTTATATATATATATATATATATATATTCTTGCAATTTTAATATTTAGATTTGTAATATTAATATACTACATAAACAATAATAATGATTTCGTTTTCATCGTCTCTCTCTCTCTCTCTCTCTCTCTCTCTCTCTCTATCTCTCTCTCTCTCTCTATGTATCTATCTATTTGAAATTATGCATCTATTTTTCATATTATTCATTTCCGCATAAATAGAATTCTCTTATTAAATCCATATCAGTAAAATTACTGGAAGAAGTTACCAATATATCGTATTCTCAATATTCCCAACATACTTTACATTCAACTATATTCTTTCATTTTATTATTTTCTATTATCATTTTGTTTCCAAGTTCTTTTTCTACTTTAATATATGGACTGTAATATTACTGTAATATATACACTACATAGTCTTCATCTTTTCGCCAAAAACATTCGTTTGCTGCACTGACAAGACGTTTCTAATTACTCTGTTATCGAATTTTATTTCCTACTCTGCATTTAATATATAAATGCCAAAATGTTCATTATAAAACAAGCCATTAGTTTAACTATTTAAAGATTTATTTATAACTATTTATTCGATCTCTATTATAATTTCCTTTATAAAGATAGTGGTGGTAAATTTTATAAAAATTACCTGAGCAAAGTATTAATATTTCGTGTTATTGACTCAGCAAATTCCTATTGTACTGAAATCAGACTATTATTATGCAAATACAGAGACTTTAAAATATGATTAATAACTCTTTATTTGCATTTATTTAAATTGTTTAGATTGTATTTAATTAAACCGCTATTGAGAATTTTATAACACATATTAACTAAATGACACATGTATTCACTATTTCTTCAGAAAATAATTTCTTTTTGTTCAGAAAAAACTTCACAACACTGTTATTATTTTTTATAGTTAACTTTAATTTTGCATTATTTATATTAATATTTTAATATCCTCTCTCTTCGATAAAATTGTACTAATTGTTTTTGTATTTGTTTTTATGCATTTTACTTTTAATCTAAAAAAAACTAGCATAAAAAAAAATAAGATTTAATAAGTTATTATTTTTACTACCATATATCACTTTTTAAATTTATATAAAATTCAATACAATATTGTCAAAATTCTTTTCAATTACTATATATTAAGTGGAAATAAAAGAATTTTATTAGATTGTAACAATATTAAACAATTACTATTTATAAATTTAATGTAATATATATGTAACTTTCTACTTGTTTTATCTTGTTATATCTCGTTACTTAAATAATACGCTTATGATCAGTTACTGACATTTTTAATTTTTTTTCTTTATTATTTTTATATATAAATCAATTTTATTGGAATCTATTCTCTTAGATACTCATCTAAGATTTATTTTTAATTAAATACTTTGATAATCTATAGTCTATAACATTGTATTAAACCAATTAAACTATATTTGATTCCATTTCTGAACATTTAAATTCTTGATTTCCTTTTAATCTTTTCTTTTCTTTTGCACATTTACAATTTCAAAAAATTGTGCTTTTAAATTTTTCATATACTTCACCCAACTTCACTACGCTATAGCTCCTTAGATTGAAAGTATGACTCATTGAAAAGTACAAAACAGGTGCTCCTAGACACACACACGCGCGCGCGCGCACACGCACAAATGTTGACAATCGTATCGATTCTGCTCTAAAAAACTAAAAATCTGTTAATTCTATTTTTTTTATCCAATTAACATCTTTCATTATCATTAGTATATTTATCAGCATCATAATTTTTTTTTTCTTAATATTCGTCGATTATCGAGTTATTAAACAATATTTATAAGGATATCAGAACAGTATATTAATATTTATTTCAAAAGTTTACAAAACGACATTATCTAATTTTTTTCTCTGCCTTTCATTGTTTTTATGCAACTCTGCTTAAGTAGACTTTTTCACACTTATCATATTTTTTCTACATCTTTTTTCAACGTTACTTTTAAGAAATAAAACGTCGAATATTCGATTACATTATTATTTATAGACTACTAATATCATTATTATATACACATAATATAACAAGCAACAATTTTAATAATTTTTAAGATGCGTCCTCTTATAATTTCTCATATTTATTATTTACATACGCAGACATACGAATGAAATCAATTATGATCTAAGATTCTAAAATACATATGTCAAAGGAGTCATATTTTCCATTGATTTTATTTAAAAAAATATACAAAATAGAATAAAATAAATATCTTTATCGTTATCGCTTTAAAGTCGTGAAATCTAACAGGAATGAAGTGTATCGGTAAAAGATTATGGTAAACTAGATATTTGATAGAAAATGTAGCTTAAGGCTTTATATTTACATTTGATCTGAATATTATTCTATATAATGTAAATTAATACTGAATTTAACATATTTTAGAAAATACACTTATCATGTAAAATAGTTCCACGGCATATTTTTCACTCAGATTGAAAATTCAAGTCTTTGTAGCTGTTATATTTGTTCATCTAAAATCAAAGAGACATATTAATTTCATATTTATTAAAGGAAAGTAACTGTAGAATCCTATGTTAAAATTTTTAATATAAATCTTAGACGTTAGAAACAATATTTCAAATGAAAGGTGAACTGACTAACTAATTAGTGTACTTCATTTATAAATATTCCGTAAATATTACCTCGAGATTTAGAGTTTCGACGTTTATTTATTTTGCATTTTCTCTTTATGCACCTACAGTTCTTTCATATTTTAAAATTTATTTTTATAATCGAATTAATCAGATTACATAATTCTAGTCATTATAAATATAGTGCGTATAACATCTTATACATTTATTTCAAATTTAAATATAATAATTCGACTCATATAATTATTAACAATAGTATAGAAATTTCTAACATACAATACATTATATTAAATGAACAAATTTTAAGTAAACAATAGTAATTAGCATTACAGCTCTTTTTAAATATTATCTATTTAAAGATCAAATTTTTTTTTTCTTTGGTCTGAAAAATTATATCATTGCTTTTATTGTAATGTAATATCCGGATTAAAAATGTAAGTGAAAAATACTATTAAAGTAATCCTAATAAATTTATTTTAGTTTTATTAAGTTTCAAAAGCCAATTAAAAAGGATCAAACTGAGAATAATACAAAGTAGCATAAATAGTATGAAAAATGGAATAGTTAACAAAAAGTTTTACGATAAAGCAGTAAACGATAGGATTACGATAAGGAAAAAGATAGGAAGTCGAGGGAGAGAAGGCAAGAAAGGAGGACGGAAAAAAGTATTAGCTGCTCACCTTCCATGTCTTGATCCGCAGTTTTACCGAATGAGAAGTATCTCTGGAGTATCCGAGTTGCATTCATGTGCGCGCATATAATGCTCTTTGAATATGTTTGACTCGAATTTAAGAATGCATTGCATTATCTCCGTGCTTATCGTTCATTTCTTCTGTACTTCGACTATCCTTCCATCAATATATCAATTCCTTTTAACTCGATTCTTAAGAGCAAATCTTTGTTACAGTATCCCCTTAACTATGAGAATAGAATGCACCTTTCAACCACACGTATGGTTTTATTATTCTTATCATTGTACAATTTTCTAGTTTATATATTAAAATGCAGTTAAATATCGTGTTTTTACTACAGTAGTCTCTTTTTACAATAACAGTATAAATTTTTATAAGATAAATAATAATAATAACTTTAACGCTGTCTTTTATTTAATACTTTTTTTTATATAAATAATATTGGAATAAGTTTAAAGAGCTTACTTATTACAGCGCTATTTAAGAATATTTTTAATTTGTAATAAAAGAATAAAGCATTTAAATGATTACAAATTAATATTCTTACTGTATTGGTTATAATATTAAATATTTTGGAATAATGAATTTTCAAATTTCTGTCGATTAATATTCTGTTTACATAACATTAATTATACGAGGCTATAAGATGTCAATAAACTATATTCCGTATCATAGTTTTATTTCTTAGTAATTCTCCTTATATTCGAATATTGAATGCAATATACCGTTGAAGAGATAAAAAGCGATGCTTTAGCAAATTTTAAATAACGCCACTTAAAGCTTAAATTAAAGTAAATCTTGATGTCATGTATAGTATAAAAATATATTAATAAAAATAATAATTATAATAATAATAAAGTACACGAAAGAAAATGCGGTTATCGTTAGTACTACGTTTGGATGACTTAGCATTACCTTATAAAATGTAATTACTGGTACGGTTACCAGTAATATAGCCCATAATTTTGTTAGGATAAAAATACTACATCTTTCTTATTCTACTTCTTACGGACTTTTTGATTATCTTAAAGTCAGTGAGACAGAGAGGAAATGAGAGATAGATAGATAGATAGATAGAGAGAGAGAGAGAGAGAGAGAGAGAGAGAGAGAGACAGATAGATGGATAGACTGTTAGGGAGAGGACGCACGAAGTGAAAAGGTATGAAAAGTAAGAGAGTAAGAGAGAACCGTATGAAAGCGCCCACTGGAGACTATGTAAGAGTCCGTAAATTCAACTGGAGCATTCCCTGGAGCAAACTTTGTCAAAAGATCTCGCTGGATTATAATTTCTGTTAGTAGCTCAACCGCAAAGCGAGCGAGCGAGCACACTAGCAAGTAAAAGGCGAATTGAGAGAGAGAGAGAGAGAGAGAGAGAAAAGAGTGAGAGGAAGCTAGGAGGAAGAAAGACAGGGGAGAACGTAGGTTGCAAAGTACGCGAAGGCCAAGTAGTTTTGAAGTGCAATACGTGAGTTCACACAAGTGTCATATGACAAGAAGTGAGAGAATGAAGGAAGAAGTAAAAGAAATAGAATAATGAGAAAAACTATATGATGTCTATCC